GCCTGGAGAGAGAGCTTGCACAAGTGAAGGCGGAGAACCAGGAAACCATAGTTTGCCTGCAGAGAGAGCTGGCAAAAACGAAGTCCGAGAACCAGGAGACCATAGACCTCCAAGAGCAAGAACTGGCACTGGTGAGGGCAGAGAGACTGGAGGCCATCGACCACCTGGAGAGAGAGCTTACACGAGTGAAGGCAGAGAACAAGGACACCATAGACCTCCTCAACTTTCCTGTACTAGACGCCAACAGCTGCATCGACAAGCGGATGCAGGAGCGAGAGTCGAAGCTTAAGACGCTGGAGGAAAATCTTGCCAACGCCCAAAAAGAGTTAGAGGAGTGTAGCGCCAATATCCTCATGAAAAACTCTGTTATTGCAGAGATGGAGGGGGAGAAGGCCAAACTCAAAGCAGAGAATAGACAGCTTCAGACTCAAATACTGGATCAGGAACAGAAGCTGAGAAACGTACACTCTGCGTCAGAAAAAAGACTCACAGCGGCCAGGAATAAGTACGTGAATGAGGTCAAGGCGCTCGAGGTGGTGTGTGAGGAGGCTGTGGAGGAGGCCAAGAGGACCTCTGAAGACAACATCCAACAGCTGAGGAAGCAGATCGAGCTGAAAGACAAGACCATCAGTGATCTAACGGAAAGCAAAAGAGAGTTGGAGGAGTCTTGCACCAGTTACCTCAGCTCTGTTATTGCAGAGATGAAGAAAGAGAATGCCAAACTGAAAGAAGAGAATCAACAGATACTCGTGCAATGTAAAATCTGGATTCAAGAGACATTTAAAGACACCAATGAGACAATAGAGGAGTTGAAGGCCAAGATTTTGAGTCTGGAAAACTCAGAGAAAAAATGGCGGGAAGAACGCAAAGAGATGGAAAAGATTCAGCAAAGCTATCAAGAAGAGATGCAGATGTTACAGCAAACCTTGAAAACATCTAAGGAGGAAAGAGAGAATGCAGAAAGTTGGGTCAGAGAGATATTTGAGGAAAAATGGCTTGGCAAAGAACAGACTGAAAAGCAAAGGGTATGTATCAGAAACCAGGGCGAAAACGTACACTGGTCTTTAAGAGACCTGGAGGAGTCAGCACAAAAGCAGACCCAAGACCTCCGCCAATTATACAATCTTCAAATGCAGGACACACAGACAGCTGAGAAGATACAACAACTCCAGACTCAAATACTGAATATGGAACAGCAGCTGAAGAACGTACATGCTGTGTCAGAGAACAGACTCACCGCGGCCCGGAACAAGTACGAGAATGAGGTCCAGGCGCTGAAACAGGCGTGTAAGGGGGCTGCGGAGGAGTCCCAGAGGACCTCTGAACACAACATCCAACAGCTGAGGAAGCAGATCGAGCTGAAAGACAATGTGAACAGCGATCTGACGGAAACATTAGCGACAACTCAGACTAGCGCGATAACCAGAAGACAAAAATAGGTTGTGTTTAGGTCAGACCAGCCGCCACAGGTCACGGTTAAAGAAGACAAAGACATGTCCAAGTGTTAAGAAGTACACATCTATACCCTCCCCGTTCCCCCTCATTCCCACCACCCCTTCCCAACTCCCAATCCCAAAAATCTGATCATTTTCACTATGACAACAGATGGAGCACTACTCTGAAAGTTCTATTCTCACAATTTAGCACATGAACTGTTTAGTGACTGTGTGAAATTGTGACTTAAACTAAAAAAAACTCAAACTAAAACACTCCCAGTTCCCAAAACAGATACAAAAAATCTCAAATATCACAGGGAGAACAGCACTATTTGGAACTTAAACCTTAGTATTTCACAAAACCAGTAGATTTGGTGCATTGGTCTGTCATGATGCTAAAGCTAACAGCTAGTACACTGGTCTCATGGTGTGAGTCCTGGGTACTACTGTGATGGAGACTGCTGGGAACACCGTGGGGCGACTCTAAACTGTCGTTGTGTCCTTAGGCAAGATACTTCACCCGCTTTGCCTTGTGCGAATGTTGTGCATGTGTGAGTGGCAGGTGGTGGTAGGAGGGGCCAGTGAAAGGCAGCCTCAATTGCAACAGTTTACCCCAGGGCAGCTGTGGCTTGTACAGTAGCTCACCACCACTGTGTATGGAATGAATGGTTAATGAGACGTGTTGCATGAAATGTGAAGCTGTGGTTCAGGTTGAATGCAACAGTTTGAGCGCACCACTAGCACTTGGTGTCATGACAGGCACTTTATGAATGCACCTGAATCGCTTAGACTGAAACACAATAGATCTAGCTCCATAGGGTTCAGCTGCTGTCGACCGTGTGATCCTGAGACAAAGTCTACTGCTGTAGACGGAACTAAAAAGTGGGAATAGCACTGAGCTACTCCCACTTCAACTCCCCCTTCAACCCCCCCCACCCCCATACCGCATACCCCACTGCAATACAAAAATATTTAAAAAAATAAAGTCATATCAAATTGTTGTCTTTTTGTTTTGTTAAAGCACAAGTAAGCATTTTTTTTTGTGTTTATATAATTTTAAATAGTTATATCTTCCAATAACAATCGCTTGTGTTTCGATCCGAAACTTGTGTTTGGACTACAACACGGATCCCTCCGTCACTTCACTCTGCTCTTTGGCGTATTTAAACAAATTCTTGTATCCTACAGTTTTTATCCAATCGGGAGAGAGAACGGTATAAGTGGGGTTTCTCTATGTGTGTGCACATGCATTCTCCTAAACAATGGCGGAGAAAGCTAGGCAGATTTCAGTGCTGCCGCAGACGGCTTACACTAAAATACACGTGAACGCCTAAAACAGAGAAACGACAACGAAGAGGAGCGACATGATGAAGAGCCGCATTCATATTGGCGACCTCTAGATCGGTGGAGAAATCACGGATGTAAAAACCGACTAGTCTTTCTCCCACAGAACAGGTAAGCATCATTATACTCAGTAGTGGCAGTATAGTAGTAGTAATTATACATTATTTCACCTGAGATAGACTGTAATGTGGTTTTTCATCAAGCTAGCTTAAAGCAAAGGATGGTTTCTCACGCATTATCTGAACCTCTTAGCAGGTTTTCCTGACGTTTCGTCCTTAATAAAATAAATGTTTCAAGGGAATGAAAGCTGTTGGAGATTTATAACCTGTGGGCAGAGATGCACACGAGTCTCTGACCCGCAAGTCCAAGTCAAGTCCAAATCCCTTGCCCAGGAGTCCAAGTCAAGTCCAAGTCTCTGGACCCGCAAGTCCAAATCAAGTCCAAGTCAAGTCTAAGTCAAGTCTAAGTCCATGCCCTGGAGTCCAAGTCCCTGGACCCGCAAGTCCAAGTCAAGTCCAAGTCCTGGACCCGCAAGCCCAAGTCAAAATACGCATTAAAATTATGGCCAATACAAATTTGAGTAAAATATATGAATTCATATACTGTTTTTTAGAACGCATTTTTCCAGCCTTAAACATTTCCGCCTGCAGGTCATACCAGGCCATACCAGGGCTAGACTGGGACCAAAAAACGACCCCAGGATTTTTGTCTCCTCAACGCCCCGGCCTAGTTTGTTGTCACATTTTTTTTACGTTTATTTACACGGTATGCAGAAGCACACACGGTAGAGGATGTCTGCAGTTTCAACAATTAAAATATAGTGAAATAGTCTATGTTACAGAGTAACAAACATGTGACTACATGAGGGCACAGATCAAAACTACTGTTTGTTACAGGGATGAGAAGGGGACATTAAAAAAAAGCCTGAAATACATAATGTCATTAAATCTGTTTGTTTGTTCACAGCATTCTACTGTTGGCACAACCAACATGAGCTGTTAATGCGAGGGAAAACGTACGTACCCCAGCTTTAATTTAGCGAGTTTAGGAGGAGACACGGGGAGACATGGGAACTTCAGGAGGCTCTATCATCCAGCTCTGTTCATTGCAGAGGTGTATAAAGACATGCACACAACAAGCAGAGAATGGTCCTGGGAACATTATGACCACGTTAAGGCTGCGCGCTGCCGCGTTGACAGAGCGGCTCACAGCTCAGACACAACTGATGCACAATGTGATGAGACAACGCATGCATTCCCGCACAGTCAAGACCCACGATCGCGGCCAACGAGCGCGCACAGCCAAAGAGCGCGCACAGCCATAGAGCGCGCACAGCCATAGAGCGCGCACAGCCATAGAGCGCGAACAGCCATAGAGCGCGCACAGCCATAGAGCGCGCACCCATAGAACGCGCACCCATACAGCCTGTGAAATGGATGGATCTGGAGTGTCAGGACTGGTAATGTTCACAAGTCCAAAAACAACGAGTCCGAGTCAAGTCTGAGTCTTTAGGGGACGAATCCCCATCTCTGGTTCTAGCGCCCAGCCAGAAGGGGGCAGTGGAACTTTTCAACACAACATATGTGGCTCCCGGCAGTATCTTCACTTCCTAAACAACATCCTCCTTAGGCCACAGCAAAGACATGAAAGAATGCACCGACATCATTCTGCATTTAACAGCAGCTGCAAAAATGGGAACTGAAACTAGAGCTTTGACTTCAAATACCTGTTGGATCAATCTTCCATAAATCCTGTTGAGTTGGTTCTAATTGTCCAAGTAGCCTGCCTATTTGATTTAGCTTTAACTGACATCTTTCAGAAAAGGTCACAGGTTTTGAGAGGTCACCAGTGGTTAATTTGTGCCGGATCCTGCCGGAACAGGATCCGGCACCTATTGATTTTGGCCTCTACGTGTTCCGGGACTTATTTGGGCAGATCCGTCACCTCTAATATAAATATTCAAAATCATAATTTTAAAAAGTCTGAAAATACATAAGAAAAAATAATTATATTAATTTAAAGAATAAATCCAACAAATTTCATGTTCTCTACTCAAATTTAACGTAATTTGGGAGAGTCGGGATCAAACCACGCCCCTCACAGAAAGTAAGGTTTGCCGCGTCTGGGATGTTTACGGCGAGGACCGAATTGACCAACTGACCAAGAGAGAGGAATATACGGAGTTTCAGCGCAAACATGTCAAAAAGACAATTGAATCTTATGTATTTTTTCAAGAAGACGGACAAGTCGCATGATGCTACTAAACGAGTGAGGAAAGCAGCAAGTGGCGATGCTAGTGACCAGGAGGAAGAGGCTAGCCCCGCAACAGGTGACCTGGTTCATAGCCCGCCTGAGTGGGGGGCAGATACAGCGCACCCGATCAGCCATCATGTGGACCCCCACCAACAACCGGAGCAAGAGGCCAGTATGGAGATATCAGCTAGCCAAGTACAGCAGCAAGAGGCGGGAACCACGACATCAACGCGCTTCTTTCATGAAGCGTCAGAAGGAGAGGAGCGCGCACTGAGCGGAGAGGAATGTGGTTCATCCAGCGACAGGTCAGGGGGATGCGCAACTGTTTGGACTGCTGCTCAGTTCAAGGTGAAGCAGAGTTACTACCCCTGGCTTCTTATGGACAGTTCTGGTTTGGGCTGCACAATTTGTAAGACGGTGGGGACTTTGGGGCCGGAGAAAACGGGAGGAATGAAACTTGCTAAAGAGTGGGTGTCAAGTACAGTGGCCTCATCTTCTTCTGATATTAAAAAACAGCAACGCGCGCTCAGAAAAAAAGTCTTTGAACATGCCCGTACCAAAGCTCACCTAGCAGCAGCAAGTATTCTTGAGAAGGCTAAAGAAGACACTTTAGGACAGTCTATAATTAATAGTCTGTCTGAACAGATGACTAAGACAGCTCGCGTCTTTCGCACGGCATACAAGGAGGCTAAACGCAACCGTCCCGCATATGGCTTCGAACATGAGATTGATTGCCAAGAGTTAAAAGGACTCGATATGGGGAGGATTTTACACTCCAATGTTGCATGTGCAAACATACAAAAACATATTTCCGATGAAATGAAAAAGAAACTGTTTGAAAAGATAGTACAGTGCGCACCCAAACTCAGTCTAATGCTGGATGAGTCAACCAGTTTAAGCAAGAAGAGCTGTTTGATCATATACATTAGAGCTCAGTTACCTGATATGGACAAGCCCACAAACATTTTCACTGAACTTGTGGAGCTCGACGATCTAACTGCTCGAGGTATTGTCAACAAACTATTAATTGCTCTGGAGCGTCTGCATTTGACCCAGGATTTTCTCTCTCAAACCCTCATTGGTGTTACTTGTGATGGTGCTTCTGTTATGTTGGGACGTAAAAGCGGAGTAGCGACCCGGCTCCAGGCCATTTTCCCCAGCATTACTCTGTGGCACTGCGCAGCGCACAAGCTTGAGCTCGCAGTCTCAGACGTAGTGAAAGAGATGGGCGCTATAAATCACTTTAAAATATTGATGGACAAGTTATATTCATTGTATAGCACATCTAACAAAAACAGAATAGAGCTGAGAGAGTCTGCTGAGAGCCTAGATATCCAACTATGCAAAATAGGTCGGATTTTAGACACTAGATGGGTAGCATCAAGTTTTAGAACCGTTGATGCAGTGTGGAAGAACTATCCAGCACTTTACAAACATTTCAGAACTGCATCTGAAGATTCCTCCCGTGATAGCATCGCAAAACAAACATACAGCGGACTTGCTATGCGTTTATCTTCACATGCGTTTGTGAACAATTTAGGCATAATGTGCGACGCGTTGCAAGAATTATCTGAGCTCTCAGTAGAGCTTCAAAAACGAGACATTACAATCATTTCAGCCCACAAAACAATATGTCGTGAAATCAGGGTGTTTGAGGCATTGTCAGATAGGCCAGGGCGCTACACTGTACTGAGCCAAAGAGGAATTGAGGAAAACTCTTTCCAAGGAATTACACTAAATGAAGGAAAATCAAGCGACAAAACACTGGACGCCAAGCCATTTTTCCAAGCTGTGGCCAAGAACCTGGAGAATCGGATGTTATCCCAAGGAGGCCGGGTACCAGACAAAACGGGATATAACAAGTTCATTGAGGAGTTGAAGGTGCTTTATGCGCAGTATTGGCCCGAGGACGCAGGTGCGCTTTATGGAGAGACTGAGGTTGAGTCACTGTGTCAGCGCTTTAATATATCTGACCCATGCGCAGTCATACTGGCCTACAGAAAGTACAGAGACTCAGATGGACACGACACGCCTGATGAACTGATTGAGTTATTTACTGCTGTCAACAGCATTCCCATTGCAAGTGCTGAATGTGAGCGGGGATTTTCTCAAATGAACTTGATTTGCACTCCCCACCGTGGCTCTCTGCTCATAAACACAATATCATCGTTACTCTTCCTAAATCTTGTTGGACCTCCCCTGGCTAAATTCAACCCAGTCCCGTACGTGAGGTCGTGGGTGACCAAAGGACACAGAACTGCCACGGATACGTGCAGTAAAACCCGAAACAGAGAGAAGGAGAATAATCCGGACCTGCTCGTGTTGTGGAGCATTTTGGACAACTAAATAGGTAAGCATACTATTAATAGGCCGCCGTGCCAACTTTTAAATAATAATTGGAAGATTTGTGTGATTTATTGTAAGCTCTGATTTTGTTGAGGAATTAATTTCTGACTGTATTCTGCAAGTCCCACCGCGGTGAAGTGGGCATTTGCCTGTGTTGTGCAGAGTAACCTATAGCCTAACTATTGTATAATATATATTATTAAGTATGGATTTTAGCTGTAAGTCCCACAGCAAGGCAAGTGGGCATTTGAATGTTGTTTTCAACAACGTCTTTTGTACGTTCCGGCACTTGTATTGGTTTCGTTTACCTGCTCTGTCATTGTGTACTTTGCGTTCCGGCACCTTATGATTTACAAATTAAGCACTGGAGGTCACCACTGCTCTCTGTGGTCGATGATTATACCTTGTTTGTATTTGTAATCCCAGTGCTACGTATAATTGATTCTAGTACAGCTGCGTTTCAAAGTGTTTCCCTCTTGTTTTCCAGGCAGGTGTTCAGTCCCATCTTCTCTCGTCAAACTCGCCCTCCCCCCGAAGTGCGCTCAGGCTAACGAGGCCGCACGACCCGCGGGGAGTTCGCTGTTCGTTTGCTAAATGACACGATGCGGTAATGACACACACGCCTCCCCCTTACGCTAAATATGGCCGTAACACGCACCAATCCTCCCCCAGGAAATCTACAACAACACTGAAACATGCCCTTCAATCCGATTCAGTTTTATAGGAATTACACTAATTAATTTTTGGAATAAAGGATTTTTTGTGTGTTTTTGAACATGTACTTTTTTTTCATATTTTTAATCAGAGCTCCCTGTCAGCTTCTGCCTGCTACATAGCTATAATCACCTCTCTGGTTCATTAACATATTAAAGCTGGAGTACCTAATTTCATGGTTTCATAAATAATACAAATGTCCCAGCAGTCTTGTATATGTTGTAATCTTGTGGCACAGCATGAAGACTTCTTTTTATTAGAAAAAATCAGTTGTAACTATGGTCATTAGTAATAATACAGAGTTTGTACAATTTCTAGCTAAACCCCGGCAGGTGGTGTACATCTGTAATCTGTGTTGAGGAGCAAACATGTGTCACAAACAGCAATATTCTGGTAGCAAAAGTGAGATTGCAATGGTAATGACTTTAGTAAGTAAGGAAATAGGTTAATACTAAAGGTTTCTCGTAAGTTTTTGGTTTTTGGCAGTTATTTTTGGAAAAAGATACCAAAAAACACAAACTTCTGGATGTGAAATGCAAATGTTTGGGTCCATAAAGATAAAACCAGCTTCTTGACCTTTTACCCAAAGACACCCTTATTAGATCAGTTCTTCAATCATTCAAAGCCAAAGATCATAAATGGAGAAACCCAAACTTGTTCAGGGGTCTGTCCCCTCCCCTCGGGCCCGGGCCAAAGCAGCGGCAGGCGGATGACATTCACCAGAGAACACCCCCCCACCCGCCACTGCTGCTTACTCCTGCCCCACATGGCTCTCTGCATCTGGGCAAAGCAAGCGTCAACCTCCTACCCCCCTTCACACTAACATCACCCAGGCTGAAGTCATGCTCCCATTAAAACCATGACGTAATGCCTCCACGCAAGCCATAAATCTACAAACAAATGAGAGAAAATGAACGGTTTGAAAAGATGTTTTTGACCTCGGAGAATAAATACGGCTCCGCGAGTGTAAGAAAGAAAAAAAAAAAGTGAAAATAAATGAGCTTAACATAACACAGCTGTGACGAGCTGAGTTGGAGCTGAACGGATCATCTCGAAATTTTAATGGGATGTACACACCACCTTCCAGCTAAATCCATTTGTAGTTTTCAATCCACACACACACACACACGCACACACAGTACCTGTTTATGGGGGGGTAACAGGGATCACTAAACAAGAAATCTCCTGTTTTTTTACCCTCTCGGTCCAAGTGAGAACATGCAGCTAAAGCATTAAATCAGACCGGTTCTCGTGTTCGCTATCTCACCCATACTGAGTCCTCCCTCTACTACACCTGTCACACACCTGTGCTCCTCATCATCCACCCCATTGCTGTATTTAAATAGAGCCTCAACCATGTATATAAGCAATAACAATACTTACATGACAATAAAAATACTTACATGAAAATAAAAATACTTACATGAAAATAAAAAATACTTTAAATAAAATGATATATATATATATATATGTATATAATAAGTATACATTTAATTTCATTTAATTTTCATCCCTTTATTCATCCATTTCTGGGTCGGGGGGTGGCAATCAGAGCTGCACCGCAATTCGCAATGCACCGTTCCCTCGCTGATCCTCCTGCAGGTGGTGGGTGCACAGGAAGATGGCTGCTCCTTCAATGAAGAAATGGCCTTGGTCTTTCAGCAGGGGGGGGGTTAAGTGTCTTGCCAAGGGACACAACAACAGCGAGGGAGCGGTGCATAATTTGTGAATATAAGTATATATATTGTTTCAAAAAATGAAATAACTTACAGCCAAAATCCTCAAGATCCCATTTGAGGGCCAATCTTTACTCTATGTACTGTGTTTTTAGTGTGTGTGGTTGTGGTTGTAGTAATGTTTTAATCACTAAGTTCATGCCACTGACTGAACACAAACTGTGTTGACTCCAAACAGAGGTTTTTTTTCCAGCCTGGTCCGATCCCTCCCCTATTTCCATTTAAATCACCGGTCGTTTTCTATTTACACTCTCAACAGGTGATGGTGGAAGAGAGATGATGGAAGAAGCTCCACCACGCGCTGCTTCACTGCTCGCAAAACATACAAGATTTATTCTGATTTTCCATAATTAAATGCATACATGATTTCTAGGATGTTCTATTTACTTGATAGGCTTAAGAGACTTTTTACTTTTACTATTATGCTTTATTGGCTATACCTGCATGTGAAAGCCAGATTCTGTCAAACCTCTAAAGCTAAGCAGACTAGGGCCTGGATAGTATTGTGATGGGAGACCTTTAGGAACTGTGGCTGTACATTTCCAAGACACTTTACCCACATAGCCTTGAATGAATCTGGTGTGTGTTTGAATGGCTGGTGATGGTTAGAGGGGCTGATGACACATACTGGTTGCCTCGCTTCTGTCAGTGTGACCCAGGGCAGGTGTGGCTAAAGTAGTAGTTTATCACCACCGTGTATGGAGTGAAAGAATAATGACAAGTGGTGCATCTTTGAGTGTCCAAAAAAGCGCTATATAAAACCCATGCATAAGATAGATAGAAACTTTATTGATCCCCTGTAGGAGAAATTCAGGTGTCCAGCAGCAGAGGACTCACCCAGGTTTGTTGTACAGTCTGACAGGTGAAGGAACAAAGGATCTCTTGAAATTGAGTTTGAGAAAAAAACGTTGGTTTGATGAAGCACCCTTTAAGTTAGATTAGATAAATATTTCAAGTAATGATTGATGGGTTTATTAGATTATAAGGACAGCAGTCACAAGCTTGTTTTTCTTTTCTTTTGTAAATTCGTAATATTTAATAAAAAAGGGAACCGCAGCCGGAGGCCTTCTGCCAATAAACTTCAAATGTTTGATTTTTCGACATGGGAAGAACATATCGTAAATTCCGAGAGAAATGGCCTACACTGCAAAAGGTCCTGTAATTATTGTCTTACAGAGAAGCGATCTGTCGTCGTTATCCTTCATAAATCATTCTGAGTTTCCTCCGGACACTGGCGCTGCGTTCAGACTCGTAGTGGCGTCAAACTTGAGAAGACGTCGTCCATCACAGCACGCATCCTTTGCCACAGACACACGCGCTGGTGTCTCCTGTTCATGTGGGAGCATGCTTCTACAGCCGCAGGGGGAAGGTCCAGGCACAAGATTCAATTAGAAGCAATTCATAACTCTGACGCAATGGTGTTTCCTCCTGGAGCAAAGAGAAGGCCTGGGTGTTTGTTTAAGAGACAACATAACATGCAAAATGGACTTGTTATGGTGGTTCTTAGAGTACAGTTTGTTCTCAGAGTGGTTCATACGTGTTTAAGTCAGTCATCTGCTGAACACGGCGACACACCCACTGCTTTCTTACATTTTCATTCTTATGGACCAAAGGCTTTGTTTCTTGTGTTTGATTCTCTGAGCTGTGTTGGTGAATTTGACGGTTTTGTTAAGTCCTCTGAGAGCACCAGCCCCTCACTGATCCTCCTGCAGGTTCTGAATCCACAAGAGGATGGCTGCTGTAGTCTGAGCTGCCAGGATTGGTCAGCAGGGGCTTCAGGCAGAGTGGGGTTAAGTGTCTTGGCCTCGGTGGGGTGGTGGGATCAAACCCACGACCTTCAGGCTCAAGGACCAATGCTCTTCCAACTGAGCCATTTGTCGTTGTACATCTAGGGCTATACCAAAATAAATTGAAGTGAATTGAATTGAATTTCTGAATCGGTGTCCATTTTGGCAACATGTTGATATGCTCCTTTGTACCCGGACAGCAAGAACATAGGGCTGGGGATGTCTCAGAACCTGCTGATCTAATGTTAAGCCCCATTTGTGCATTTGTATTTCATCAATGGAATGTTCAAAATTACAAAATATAAAGAAGTACTAATACTACTAATAATTTTAATAATATGTTATACTAAAAAAAAATTGATAATAAAAAATCCATTATTATTTATCCCACACCCCCTTGGGAGAAAGGTTGGCTTGTTGTTTTGACCTGTGTTTGCTTTCCCCATACTGTAGGTCCTCTTATGTTGCTGAAGCACAAATAAGAAAGCATTACCATCACATCAGCTATATAATACATAAGAACTTTTTTAAATAAACGCATGCCCATTTGACTTTTTTCTTTTCCTACCCTTCAAACCCACACGAGTATACTTTTCACAACTTGCTTTGCTCGCCAGATCAAATTCTCACACTTATTCTCAAAAAATTATCTGGTTTTTATTGGACTGCCTGATCTTTTCCCCAAATGTCTCCATCATTCTCACAGCTTTTGGCGGTAAGTTGCCCTCCTGTTTGAATCATTAGGTCTGAATGTTCACACAATGGGACACACACATACACACACTTTCCCAGCCACTGAGACGCTCGGCATGAAGACCAGGATTTCACACATGGAAACCGTGTATCCAAGCAGTGGCGTGTGAGAACATGACAGGCCCGGACTGGCCATCGGGAGCATCGGGAGATCTCCCGGTGGCCTGCGTGTCAAAGTGGCCTGGGCCTGCCCTATCATCACGGTCTATTTTTTGTTTTTTTTTTGTTTTTTAAATTTAATTTCATCCTTACGGTCTTTGCAAACTCCTACCCTGCCTGGTGGCCTGGTCCAATGAGCAAGGCCCAGGCCAAAGCCAGTGTTGCGCGTGAACGAGTTCAAAAGAACGCGTTCATTGAACACGCTCATTTTTTTTCGTGAACGTTGAACTGAACGCAACACATTTTTTTAATAAAGATCTTGAACGTGAATTAGTTCATATTATGTGTCATGAACGGCAGACAATTTGTTTTCCATTTAAAACTGAGTGAAATCTGTTTTCTCTTTTGAAACGCAACGAGAGAAAGTTCCTCCCTCCTGTATTCTCCGCACTGTTTCCGCCGAAAACTAAAAATTCCTACGGTTTCCACCGTCTGTGAACGCACC